AGCCGAAGATCAAACCGTGCCGTCATCAGTTCTTCCGCAGTATCATGCAGCAGAATAATAGTCCTCCGCTGCTGCAATTGTACGGATTCTTAATGCATTTATTGCAACTACATCTCATCATTTTTCATCACACAAACAGACTAATGCATAGCTCGACACAACTTGTACCGGGGCAGAGTCTAGACAGTGCTTTCTTCTGTGGAGACCAGCGGTTCTTAAAGTGATAGGGGGTCCGCAAAATAATTTGCAAACACTACACAAATAAAAATATACATTTTACCATACGACTATTTAATGACTTAATAAAGTTATTTCCCCTCGATGGGGAAAAAATCCAAGTGAACATCAATCAGTACTCAATATTAATTTAAACTGCTTTAATTATGACTGCTGCTTATTTCCTGTGCACTTCAATACTGGTCTGCGCTTGACTGTACTCGCGTCTGTCTGCGTATTGAGTTTATTTAACCCATCGCAATTTATTGGAACTGTGTGAAAAAGAGTAGGCTTTTTTTTTGGAAAAAAAAAAAATAATAAAAAAACATTTTCTCATTTTTCTACTTTCAATATTAAATTAAAAAAAACAATGACCAAATGATACACGGCTTTTTTTTCGGAAAAAAAAAGAAGAAAAAAAAAAGAAGAAGAAAAAAACGGAAAAGGAGCCCTTTTCTCATTTTTCTACTTTCAATATTAAATAAAAAAAACGAATGACCGAATGATACACGGATTATATTGCTCCAGACTTACTGATTTAAAAATTATAATTAAACTTTATTTGGAGTACTACTTGTGTACAATGCACATTTCTTAATACAGTATTAAGCCTAAAGTGTGTTCTAATGTCTCTATTGATGAGGACTTTATGAATTTTGAATAATATCAGTCTTTAAATGCAAGATATGTAGTTGGACTTCAGCACTACTTCTGCACAATTAAAGTGCATTAAGTACAAAATTAGTTGTAACAATTTAGCAGACTTAAAGTATACCATTTTAGTATACTAAAAGTACAATTGCAGGGATAATAAAAAAACATTTTCTCATTTTTCTACTTTCAATATTAAATTTAAAAAAACAATGACCAAATGATACACGGCTTTTTTTTTCGGAAAAAAAAAGAAGAAGAAAAAAACGGAAAAGGAGCCCTTTTCTCATTTTTCTACTTTCAATATTAAATAAAAAAAACGAATGACCGAATGATACACGGATTATATTGCTCCAGACTTACTGATTTAAAAATTATAATTAAACTTTATTTGGAGTACTACTTGTGTACAATGCACATTTCTTAATACAGTATTAAGCCTAAAGTGTGTTCTAATGTCTCTATTGATGAGGACTTTATGAATTTTGAATAATATCAGTCTTTAAATGCAAGATATGTAGTTGGACTTCAGCACTACTTCTGCACAATTAAAGTGCATTAAGTACAAAATTAGTTGTAACAATTTAGCAGACTTAAAGTATACCATTTTAGTATACTAAAAGTACAATTGCAGGGTATTTTTATTAAGTACATAAAAATGTACTTGTAGTAAATTTAGCATGAAATAAATGTATTTAAAATACATTTTAGTATATTTATGTTTCACTAGGGAAATATCGCACTGAAATGTATTATATTTGGAATATATCACAAGAGTTAAGGTGTATATACTGATTTAAGGTGCTTTGTCATTATGTGGAGCTTGACCACCCCAGTCGCCATTGACTTTCACTGTGTCAAAGAGCTGCATTAACATTCTTCAAAACGGCACCTTTTGTGTTCAACAAAAGAACATCATGTAGGTTTCTAATGACATGAGGGTCAGTAAATAAAGACAGAACCTTTATTCTGTGAAAATACGACTGTGTGTAGTTGCTAGTTTTTTGCTTTTTTCTTGTGTTCCCTCTTCATTCCGCACCCTTCACATCTGACTCATCTAGCTATTAGAGACTGTGCCTGAGCTACGAGTTATGTCAGCTGTTTTGAAAGAGACCACTTGTCTTCTTGTTTGCCTGAATTATCTCTCTTTGTTGTATCTTAATGCACCACCTGCATCTGTATGTGTGGCCAAGAACCGAGAAATATGACAATGATGCACTTTCAGTAGTTATTGCGTGTTTAATCTATGCTAAATTGTGTATATGAGATTGGGCGATAAAAAATTCATGTGTGGGTCTGCCAAGTGAGTCAACAAATTAAGCGATCCCATGTAACTGGATATTTTGCCAGAAGGAGGAAATGCTAATATTCATAAGGCATGAGCTGGAACAAGTTTTAGAGCGTATGGTGTACATTAACATCAGAAAAAGGAGGTAAAGAGTTGGATTTCTGGTTCCCCTGCCATAAGGCACACAAATAAAAGTCTAAACAGAGTACACACAAGCAAAACACAGAAAGAGGAACAAGTAGGCTACATATTTTGTTTCAGTCAGACATCTGCACAAAGCCAGCAAACACAAATTGCAGCAAAGCACCTGTGATTATGGTGTTTTTGTGTGTGTGTTTCTGTGCAAATCATTATACCACTGATTGCGCGCTGCAGACGCTCCGGTTGGTTTTATAGTGTGCTGATAACACCGCATCGATGTCCTCATCCGAGTCCTAAAGCACAAACACGTCCTTCAGCGAATATTACATTGAAAACAGCACTGATTTCCTTTACACCATCACTTCACTCTGTGATATGATATCAGAAAAATCACATTACAGAAGGTTGTCTCTTATCATTTTAACTCCCTGTCTGGAAATCATATCCTGCACACAGGAAAAAATGATTGCAAGTGAGAAGTGGTTTAAGAGACTGTCTGAAAGCTACCACATCGTTCAGGCCTGGAACTGAGCGGCATCGACTAATCAGAGGGTCTTCACTGAACCCCTCACCAGGATTACTGAGGTCCACCTCAGAGCGACTGCGATCTGTGAAGAGAGGAAGATGCTGTGATTAACCAAATTTCTGGCTATTTTATATTTTATAATACTTCTAAAGACACAGTGAAGTCCAAAATTCTGAGACCAGTATTGAAAAAGTAAATTTTTTTTTTACTATATTAACATCATTTAAGATGAACTGAAATATTAAAACAAATTTCAGAATGATTTAGTATGTTCATGTAAACCCTGATGATCATGTTCTCCACTCCAGCATGATTTGATCCAAAGAGCATCTTGTGCTTCAGTGGAAGCAAGAGCATCTGACAGTTTGTGCAGTAATGCTAACATGGACTAAAACAGCGGTTCTCAACCGGGGGTCGAGGCCCACTAAAGGGGGCCTCAAGAAGACTTCAAATAAACAATAAGACAATAAGAAAAAAACATGCTAATACAAGTAAAAATATGTTATTTGAAAGAACAGGGTTCTCACTATATTGAAAAACTTGGATAAATGAGGCAGCCTAATTAGTGTGAAAAAAAGTGTTATTTCTAGACCTGTAGAAGTCATGCAAATTAATAACATAGTGTAACTTCACAGGTAGTTTCATACATTTTATAAATATACATTTATCTAGTTATGCCAAGCTCTAAAATATTTTATCCTGTAGAAGTAAAAAATATCATTATCCAGTAAATCACAAACAACTCAAAATATAATGGGGTCTTTAAATACTGTTGTGGACAATGGGAGGACTTAAGAGTCAAAAAGGTTGAGAATCACTGTTCTAAAAATGCTTGTTTTATTAGTGACCTAAAGTGCAGAATCTTAATAGAGCAATTGCACAGAATCTTAAATATTTCTACACATACATATTTCTCTATTATAAAACGGATAATTCCGGTCCTTGATTCTGATTGGTTGAGCCGCGTTCGAAGCTGTTGTAAATTACACTACAAACATACACCTTTGTTTACTTCTGTCTGTTGCTTGGCAACCACTTTGTTGGAACCACAACTCTTTCTGAGGAACTACATTGTTTGGTGGAAGAATACTGTTTTTATTTATATCATTACACTTTATTTGCTCGGTTTTATTCTGTGAAACCTTACTATGTATATGGAATAACCGTTTTATAAAAGCAATAAGCGCCGTGAAGCATTTTAGTATATTTCCGCTTCGCGTCGTGTCTAACAATGCCCCTTAGCTGTTATAAATTCACTGTAAACCACGGCTTCTTGGGGCTGATTGCTTTATTTTTTACTTTCTTTTTTATTGATTTTTCAAGAAAATATATATTAAAAAAAAAAAAAACAGTAGAACAAGGGGTATAACATTCTGTTTTTGAGGCAAGTATAGGTTTAAAAATTCACAGACATTTTTTATTGTTTACTCCATTTCTTCTACATATACTGTATTTCTATTTAGCATGATGTAACTGTTTATTCCCATGTTTAAATCAGATTCTGAAGCACACATTTTCAATGTGGTCTCAAGACTTTTTCAAGTTTTTAATATTACAGTGAACTGATGTAAGGACAGTTTTGAGGGCAAATGTCGTTACTAGTGTCATTGGCAGGAATAGTATATATGTCAAGTTGTTGCCATGGTGATACCTGATGAGAGGGAGGCTCTGGATACGGCAATAGAGGGTGTGCTAGAATCCATTTGTCTCCGCCCATCCGCCATCTTTTCAGGAACGCTGTCACTGCTTTGTATACTAGACACGCTCTCTGCCCCATCCGGCTGAATAAACATGCACACACACAGACACTAAACACTGCTTTCCTGTCATGCACGCAAATCTGTATACAGGAATGCAATTGTGCGATCATGTGTTACCTTGTTTCTCGTCTCCGTCTGGTTTGGTGTTTTCACCATTTGTGCTCTCATGTTATTGGGTACTGTTGGTAACCCTGACGATTCCACTGCAACCGCTCTCTTCCTAAAACACAGACACTTAATGAGAGTGAAACACAGACAGCCTTAATGAGCAGACACATGCTGGCACAGAATGAAACACTAGCTTACTGCACTCAAGTTTATACTGCCTACCATTTTTCCAAATTAATATGTGAAACGGTATGCAACAGGATTCATTTCAAACAGCGGGAGGCTATATTGTTCTCACTAAGTATACTGCATGTTCAAAATCATGGTTTTTATTACTCCTGGCTCATTTGTCATATTGTAAATGGTTAAGTGCATTGCATTATGGGATACAGCGTTTACAGTGTTACATTTTAGCAAATGCATACAGAAGAAAGCATAAAAGCACAAATACTATTAACTGCAAGAACCGTATCACAGTAAGTGATTTCAAGCATAGCCAACTCAATGGACTGTAAATGATGCCCCTCACCCTTTCCTGTTCTTCCCTGTGCTTTTCTGGGATTGGGGCGTAGCTGATCTCTCAGACTGTGGCGTGGATGATCTCTCCATCTCTGATGATCTGTGAGCAGAGCCTCCATCTCCATAAACAAAAACAGATATTCATAATAAAAGTAAGCAAATCAAAGCCATTTAAGCTAAAAACAATCAATTCACTTTTATTGTGGGAATTTCATCTAAAAATTGTCAAAAAATGTGAGAAACAAAACAGAGAAAACAATATTATGGATAGAGGATATAAATTAAAAATGTATTGATGGATTTGTTTATAACAACACACAGCTTTTCACTTCACAAGTTGCTAAATGGTGGACGAGTCGTGTGGATTACATGTGGATTATTGTGATGCTTTTATCATCTGTTCGGACTCTCATTTTGATGGCACCCATTCACTGCAGAGGATACATTGGTGAGAATGAGATGCAATGCTTAATTTCTCCAAATCTGTTCTGATAGAGAAATAAACTCAACAAAGCAAAGCTCTTGGATAGCTTTAGGGTGAGTAAATCACATCATTGGAGAAGCACTAATTAAACGGCACTGTTTTGGTCAATGATTCCATCCGTCAAAAATATTTTTTCATAAAATATTATTCACTATAAATGACCATTAATCAATGCAAAACCTGATCAGGATTCTACTTTTTATTGACAAAGCTGCTGTGAAACTGGACATGCAAAAACAATGATAATATATTTTTTGTATATACTGAAACATGTAACTATTCTAGTTCAAATCATTAAAAATTTTCCATTATGTCAGGGCTGACAGTGTGTATGTATGGCAACATTTACAGGCACTGTTTGATGGATGTCTGTGTTGACACAAACTCTGATTTGGTCTCACCTGGAGGACTGCTGATGATTGACTGTTTGACTACATCACTGCTGGCAATGATGGCATGTTGGTACCTCTTGGATCTCTCTTCCAGAAACCATTCTCCTGTAACCACCTTCAGCTCCCTAAATCAGCCAGTCACACACAGACAACACTGTGTAAGCACCAATTATATAAGTGCCAATCACAGCCTAATTGGTTCACCTATTAAAGAGCCTATGAACTGTTGACACAGTTCCTATTGAAACAAAAAGCTGGGGCAGAATATGGACTAAAACCCAAAAAACTCAATTTCATGGTGTCTACTATCTATTCACCATTACAGACCAGAGTGTGTATGGATGTTGTGTGTGACTCACGCAGTCTTCGCACACACGGTGCATTTGCAGTTGCTGTCTGGAGGCGTAGCAGTGCAGAAGTTGCAGATGCGCCGATGACAGTTGGTGCACACATTACCCCTCTGCAGGATGAGACCCAGAGCACGCAGACATACAGCACACTCACGCTGATCCGCTGAACTACGCCGCCCGGCTCGCTTCAGTTCCAGAAGCTCATTTTTCAGTTTCCTGTAGAGGCACAACTGGCATCACTGTTGGGGAGTAACTAAATGTATTCACCCCATAAATTAACTACAGTAGGTCTGCTGCTTTGAACACAGTTCATCTATTTCAAAAATACATTTTCAACGCCACATGGCAATTTTTATGTTACTTTCACTGACATACAGTATGTAGTCCTGGAAAGTGATTCATTCTAGTGAATTGGTTCATTCGGATGCTCCTTTTAAATTTACAGATTCTAAAAGAAGAGTCATGGATTTGAGTCACTACATTTTAACCTGAATATTTAGTTCATTATGTGTTCAAATCAGTTATTTAAATTACTTATGGTAGTCTTCAAGTTTTTTGTGTTGTTGTTGTATTTACTATCATTTATTTTTGATGCACCCAAATTGGAATTGCTCATTCATTCATAAACCCATTTTTTTTGTGCAATTCAATTATAAATTATTCAATGCATTTAGCTACTTTTCTTGCACAGTAGCTAACTACTTTTGCAAAAGAGTGTGTTTGTATGTGTATATAAATAAAATGTGTATATATTTAAAGAAAATGACTGCTTGTGATGAAATGATGTGCGTTGAAGACGCTACCTGATGCGTTTCTCCTCTCGTTTGCGGAGTTTCTCGTCTTTCTGGAGAACACTCAGGATCATCTGCCTTTCGTGCTCCAGGAGGAAGGACAGATTAAGGGAATCGGTTGTCTTTGCCATGACCATTTAAAGAACTGCTCACAGAGCACCAGGAAGACTCAGCCAATCAAACTGGCCACAAACCACTAACAATTATGCTTCATGAATGCAGCTGGAATCCTCAGTCAGAATGAAGGATTGCTTCAGTTCATCTTCACATCCCCATAAAGGTCATCTGCCCGGACCTTTAGACAATATCATTCATCTCTTGACAATTGTGGCAGGTCTTGTGATCCTATTGGTCAGTGCATTGTTAACCTTTTCACCTGCTGAATGCCTGCAAGCATAACATCCATATAAAAACCATCAGTGATCAATCAGGGTATTTTAGGTCTCATACTTATTGTATAACTAACTAGTGAATCATGATTTACCTTATAACCTAGTTGAAGTCAAAAGTGTTTAATAAATGTTAAGAAATAAAACAAGATGCTCCCAGTAGAATTTTTTTTTCTATTGAAACCAAAGGGTCAGAGAGATATGGTCAAAAATGATAATGAAAAACCTATTATTACTCTTTTAATGCAAAAAAATATATATATTAAAACCATAATGAATATCTAAATGAAATGGATCACATATATGTATAGAAATCCAAAAATATACATAAGAATAATTCAGAGGCAAAATCAAGCACTTTTTATGTGGTTCAGCATTACAGACTATATTATGGTTTATGATGATCTTTATTATCTGCTTTGTGAATAGACTGACAGTCCAGATGTCAGTATGAAAGCCCAGCCAAACTGATACAGCTACAGCTACAAGTCACCATTTAGGTTTTTATCTAAAGTGACAATACACTAATTGCAGTGGCAGTCTGCCAGCGGCAATCTGGGGTGAAGTGGCTCGCTCGAGAGCACAAGAGTAATAGAATTAGGACAGTAATTACTGTACATCAGGCATACTTGGGACCGAACCTATAACCTTTGCATTTATAGCCGACACTTTCCACAAATAGGGTAGATAATAGAGCTTGAAGTCTATTAGATAATGAAACTGTACATTCTATTAAAATAAAAATACATGAATGGGTATTCTATTCTGTAAATTAAAGAAATTTTTTCTTACAACAAGCTCAGTTATAAGTGTTGAATGATTCAGCATAGCAAATGCATTCAACACTATAATATGTGTAAAAAAAAATTAAGAAAATGGAAAAAAAGAGATTTACTTCTCTTCCTGCCATGCTATTTTTTTTTCTTTTTTTTGAATTTGATAAAATACACCAGAGGAAACATCATGCTATAAAATGGTTACCTGAAAATTGTTAATTATCAATATGTTTTGTTCTATTAATATGATATTTACAAACCATTTTTAATTATTCATTTATTTTAACTTTTAACTATTGTATGTCAGTAACAACATACATAAGTTTAGCTGATATTCATTACTACAATTAATAATGTATATTGCAATAGTATAATATTATTAGGATTATTAGAATATTGTTAACAGTCATCAACAGTCAATATTATTATTATTATTATAAAATAAGCTTATGTATGTTATTATTTTGACATTCCCATATGATTTAAAGGGGTCCTATTATGCTTTTTCATTTTTTGAATTTTAGTCAGTGTGTAGTGTGTATGAGGAGGTCGTGGTTAGAACGCTTGGTTGAGTGCATCAGACAAGACAACGACGAAGAAGAAGTGCTGCTGTAGCCTCAAGTTTTCGCAAGTTATTACACATGTACCTGAATAATTATGTAAATATGTATGTTACAATTAAGAAAACATTTTTATAATAAATTGCTGACAGTACAATACTGGACAATGATGTAATCTGCAGAATTTACACTTCAATTATGAGACTACAGTGTTTCCCATACATTGATGTATTTGTGGCGCCCGCCACAATATCAAAACTGACCGCCACAAATAGATTTTCCAAAAGGCTTTGACTTCGTTGAATAAACATAGGGCCGGCCCTAGCATTTTAGGGACCCCAAGCAGATTTTCAAAAGAGGTCACACACAGTGCCTAACGTGATTTAGCCAAAAAAAAAAACAACAACAATACCAATAACGTTACCTCTCTAATATGTCTCGCAATATCCGTGCGTGCAAAGATCTGCGCGATCCTCTTGTTCAATATTCTCGGGGTCTGAATCCGGCTCAAATTGATATGGAGCAGACGGAACTTGCTGCTTTGGCAAGGGGCGGGGCTGTACTGAAACACCGTCTAAGCTTTTCGCCAATCACAACGCACTGGGACAGCTAACCAATCACATCACATTTCGTTTTTCGGAAGGCGGGCCTTCATCAAACCCGGAACTAATCGAGCCGTTTGTGCCAGGCTGGGGAGAAAGGTATTGTAATAATGTAAATTATGTGAAAAAATTATGCGTTTTTCGAACCACCAAGCATGACAGCATGTTCTAGTACACCCCCAAAACAAAATCAAGACTTTGTAAAAGAGCATAATAGGAACCCTTTAAATTGTTGAATACAGTCAAGAAGACAATCAAAACCATTGAGTTGATTGGGTTAAAAAGGTTCCATCCTATGTTGATTTTATGTTAAACATAAAAGTTTGTATATCATATCTAGTGGTTCTCTCCCTAAAGAACATTTCGCAATTATTGCTTTAAAGAAACATCATGGGACACCAATTTGTATTCTTAGAAAGTGCCAGCTCTGATCTATAACAATTTCATGTTCAGTTGTCTTTGCTGGAAGCCCCGTCGAGACTAAGCATTGTACTGGCTTAGATCTGTGGACGACTTTAATTTCCTGTTTGAAGCACTGATTTATGGGTCATATCCAACACCCAGCACTGTCTGTGTGCATGATCTGGGTTAATATGTAGCAGTTACTGCATGTATGTCATCTTATCTTCGTTCCAGGTTTGTTTGAAATCAGTAGTGAGTGACAAATGGGGAGGACAGAAAATATGCATTCCAGTGTGTGTGTGGGCATGACTCGCTTTCCTATATTCTGTTGTCTGTCTGACAGAATCTGATACACCATGTCTGACAGGCCAGCCTACATAATCAGAACCTTCAAAAGCTGTTTTTCACACCATCATTTACACTTAGAAATGTGCCTGCCGCCGGTGACACAACCACACACGTACGTGTCACACACAGGTGACAAATTATTTGTAATGTCACAGCACAAAAATTGAACTGCATGTGTGTATGTTTGTGCCTTTGTGTGTAACTGAGGTTCTTGTTCCATTAAGTGTCTGACTCACCAGGAAGACGTGGAGCAAAATTAATTCAAATTTCTCATGCGAGAACTGTTTACAGGGACACACAAACGCGCACACAAACTCCATGATCTCTGAAAGTGTAACTTCAGTTTCTCCGCTAAGGAAAAGGCCAGCATGGGCCAGCAATGTCTAGCAGCACTAATTTAAAAAATCTCTTCTCCCTCTTACTGCCATCATTGTCAGGCAGTTGTTAGTATGTGTTTGAGTTTGAATGTGTTTGCGTTTGAATGTTTTTGAGTCTGAAGGTTGGTGTGTTCATTATAAACTCCTGAGCTGCTTTAATAAAAACAATTACAGGGTTACAAAAGGTGCGGTAACTCACTGGATCCCACCCTAAGTACACACATTAGTGTACACAAAGCCCTGCATAAACATACACCAACACATAGTTCTCTTATGTTGTTCAACAATATACAGTACCGTTCAAAAGTCAGGGGCCAGTATGACTTTTAATGTTTTTTTAAATAAGTCTCACCACGGCTGCAATTATTTGATTAAAAAATACAGTAAAAACAACAATATCATAAAATATAAAAAAAACGGTTATCTATGTGAATATATTTTAGAATGTTTTTCTGTGAGGCAAATCTGAAATTTCAGCAGCCATTACTGTCTTCAGTGTCACATGATTCTGCAGAAATCATTCTAATATGCTGATTTGCTGCTCAAGAAAGATTTCTTATCATTATCAATGTTGTTTTGCTGCATAATATTTTTGTGGAAGCAATGATACATTTTTCATTAATGAATATAAAATTAACAAGGACAGCATTTTAATAAACATAGCCTATTTTAAATAGATTATAGACTATAAATAAAAAGTTAATGCAATTTAATGCATCCTTGCTGAATAAAAGTATTAATTTCTTTTAAAAAATCTTGCTGACTTCAAACCTTTGAACAGCAGTGTACTTTAAATGAATAGTTTTGTCATCATTTACTCACCCTCATGTTGTTACAAACCTTCATTGCTTTCCTTCATCCATAGAACACAAAAGGAGATATTTAGATAAATGGTCACACTGCTCTTTTTCAATGAAAGTGATAAACTTAATAGCATCTGCCTCCATCTTTTGTGACCAGTCATAAGGATTTGAAATAACAGGAGGGTGAGAAAATGCTCTTCTATTCAAATTCAAATTTTCATGTGAAAACTAAATCCTTAAATAGCAATAAAATAGCCTAATCCATTCCACACCGCCATATACCTGGACTAATTAAAAAGACACAACAACACCAATTTCAACAACACCCACAGCACTGTTAATTCATTGGTACCCCAGGCTCTAGTGAATATTAAGACACCAGACAGGAATAATGCTGCCTTCAGGTCCTCCTGGGAAATTCCTATTTACTAGCTCAGAAGTCATCATTACGATGTGATGTGAGTTCAAATGATTTTGGCTGGGAAAAAACTTACTGACAAAACACAGGAAGCGTTTCCGCCCTATGCAACCTAATAAAGAACACGGGATGCACATTAGATTTGAAATTGGTTCTTTATCTGTGCATTTTATCTTTCTAATGCTGAAATGTATAGTTGCACAAGCCTGTCACTTCATGAATGGCTAAACGAGTAGCATTTTCTGACAAGCCTTATTTGTATTTTTCATCAATAGTACGCTGAACACATGAAAGTTAGTTTTCAGCACGTTTTAATCGTGACGACTCACAATCCTGATTTTTCCCTCTGGTAAATAAGACACTGTTATGCCATTCATGTGTAAATACTAGGGATGCACCGATACCACTTTTTCCAGTACTCGCCCGATACCGATACTTTTATTTTTGGTACTTGCCGATACTGAGTACCGATACCGATATTTTTATTGCATTTGTACATTTTTTAAATATTGGGTACAGAAACCAAAAGGGTATGTATAATGTTAGTTGGTTAACTTCATTTATCAAATAGATACAGTCGATACCAGTATCGGTATCGGTGCATCCCTAGTAAATACGATCATCCCAACAAGACCTGAAAGCAACATTAAAGATGACAAACATGCTGCAAGAACCATGGGAAATGTAGTTCAGTGCATAAATCTCAAGAGAGCAAGTCAACAAGCTGCCAGTCCAGCTCTCAGCTCAGTAATTACTCCTCTAATGATGGAGACACATTCACCAACAACACCTGGCTTAATGGAGATTAGACTCATACATGTTTTATGCCTTTCAGAGAGGCTGTATTAGCATAATAAAAAGGGACAAAAAGCTATGAAATGCAGATTAGCAACTAGCAAGACAAAACTGGATATTGGGTAGTAAGTATATAGTGGTTGACCGATAAGAGATTTTGAGTATTCAACACCAAATATCAAAATCTAGACAGCAGGGTGGTAAACAGTCAATATAATGCAAATGTACATGTTTATTATAATGTCAGAAATTACATTATATTACACAAACTAACACAAAGAGGAACAACTTTTTAATCACAAAATGACCCTTGTCTATTTCAAAGTAATCATATATGCAGCCCTCTACGGACACCTTGGCAATTGAATCGCCATTGGCTAGTAAATTTTTTAGTTTACTCGCCAGACTGAT